TGTTACTCCTTGGAGAAGGACATGATGTTGGGAAGAGTGGAGGGTCAATGAAAGAGAGGAAGACCCTCAACCAGGGAGACTGATATGGTGACTGCTGCAATGGGCTCTTGTGTGTCAGGAAGTGTGAGGACAGCACAGGATTCAGATCTTTTATTTAGAGGGTCGCTATGAGTCATGCTTGATTCTATAGCACTTAACAACACCAACAACAATGGGCTGACCAGACCATCAGTGCTCCCTTGTTCTGAGGATAATTTCCACAAAGTTTCGCTATAATCTATAAAGCTCCACTCTTGGCATCAGCAGTCAGGAAACCAAAAGACCAATTACACTGGAGAAATCTGCCGTCAGGGAAGTTTCCAGTGCATTGAGAAGCAATGATGTTAGTCTAGAGACTAAGGTGCGCCTGACCTACGCCATTGTCTTTGCAATTACTTGCTATGCATCAGAGTACTGGACAATGACTAAGGATGACAGAAGAAGAATCGGTGCCTTTGAGTTGTGGTGCTCAAGAAGAGTCTTGAACACACCATGGACCACCAAGAAAACAAACAGGTCTGTCTTGGAGACAGTGAAACCAAGTTTCTCCTTGGATGCTAGGATTTTTTTTTAATAAAATTATTTTAAACTGGTTTACTTACAAAGTTTATATACATTGCTTTTCACACCAGATCTTTCCTATTTCCTTAACCTACTCCTCCCTCTACCCATCAAATTTTCTTACCCTATGATTATAGCCTCCCACATCCCCTACTCATCCTCGCTCCTCTGCTCTATCCTCCTTAGATCCTCATACACGTTTTACTAGTTATCTCTTCCTGCAATAATGGTCTTAGGATTTTGAAGCTCTATCTCACATACTTTTTTTGGGCACATGGCCAGGATGGACCAGTTCTTGGAGAAAGACCTCAAGCTCAGAAGGGTAGAGGGATGGCACAGGAGAAGAAGACCCCAGATGAAATATATTGACATAGTAACTGGGGCAATGGGGGTAGGTGTGTCAGAGTCCGTGAGACTGGTTCAGGATCACAGGCGACTCAGCAGCATACATGTTGTAGCTGTTGATGTGTACCATCGAGTCAGAACCGAGCCATAGCTGACCCTCTGGCAGATTTTTAGATGCAGTTAATCCATGGGAGGAGACTGCCTATCCGTCTCTCATGGAGCAGTTGGTAATGTCCAACCACGTGCCTTTAGGATTATAGTGCAGCTTCTTGACACTAGGCAACCAGAGCTTCCTATAAAGCATTATAGTTATACCAATTAATAATTACAATGTAATAGTTTTATCAATTCATAGTATTTCTTGAATAGTTACTGTGTGCCAAGCACTGTTGTAGGTGCTGGGGACACAGCAGTGAAAAAGGCAGGCAAAAATCCCAGGCCCTTGTGGAGCTTACATGATAGAGATGCACTGAAGACAGACAGTCCACAAGATAGAAACATAAACAGCGTGTCAGACCCAAGCAGAGACAAGAGAGATGTACAGGTGTTGGTAAGGTTGCTAGACCAGGGAGGCTCAGGAGATGAAAAGAGGAGGGAAGACACTTTACAAACAGCAGAGGGGGATCTCTAGTGGAGACACAGGAGCTCTGAAGTCTTCATCATTATCATCTTCAACATTCTATATTTCTTATCAGGCATAATTCTATTTACATTGTTGTTTGTTGTTGCTGTTATGTGCTGTCAAGTCGCCTGTGACTCACAGTGACCCTATGTACAACAGCCCTAAATTCTGATCTATCCTGTGCCAATCTCACCATCTCTGACACACCTACCCTCATACCCCAGTCATTGAATCAATCCATCTCATAGAGGGTCTCCTCTCCTGCGCTTTCCCTCCACCCTCCCAAACATGACATCCCTCTCTAAGGAATGGTCCCTCCTTGCAACATGTCCAAAGTATGTCAGATGAAGCTTCAGAATCCTTGCCTCCAAGGAGCAGCCTTTTATTTAATCCTTACACTGAACTTCCCTATAAGGTCGATCCCATTATTTTTTTAAATTTTTTAATTGATATCTTAATGAAAGTTTACAAAGAAAAGTTGGATTTCCATTCATTCACTGTTTCACATTGATCCTATTATAAGTGCATCTTTTCAAATGAGGAAACTGAAGCATAAAGAAGTTAAGTTGCCTAACAAGTTACAGACTTAGGTGGTGTAGCTGGGTGGGATTTGAACAAGGGCCACCTGGCTCTAGAACTTAGAGGTAGAAGGACAGGACAGGCTGCTATGCCTCAGACCAGGCAGGGCTTGCCCTTTACACATGTTAGGAAGGAACAGACATGCATCTTCAATACCTATGTAGCCAAGACCCAATATGCCATGATCAGGATACAGCTCTGGAGTACAATCTCCAGCAGCAGAGTCCACAGGGACCCTCTGCTCCCTGTTTCTTCCACATGTGGCCTTAAATTACCAACCAAAAGCCTGGTGATCTTACTCAGAAACCACAAACAAAATAACCAATATAGCAATCCTAGGAAGTTTAGCAAACACACCAACAACTCTAGATTGTTTTTGGAACCTGAGAACACTGAGAGACTGAGGAGCAAAGAGAGGTAGCTGGGACTACTGGGCCAGAGAGCTGAAATTTGTGGCAGGAGAAGCCTGCAGAGGGGCAAAACTGCAACAATTTGCAAAACATTTTCACATCATTCCTAATTTTACTTGGTAATTGTTCAGCTCTCACCTTAGGCAAGGCAGACATTATTACACCAAGTTGTCAAGTGGGAAATTGAGAGTCCAAGAGGGGAATAAGGAATTAGTCGAGATCACCTGCAAGACAAGGAATCAAGAATCCAAGAGCACTCCTACTGTACCAATCAGAGTAAGACAGAGAGGCTTTGGCGAATGGGAGGCAAGTGGTAATCAGATGGAAGAAATAAAGCTCTTCTGGAAACACCAAAGCAAGGACACCCTTCCTCATGGCCTCCTGGAAAACTTTCTAATATTATTTCCCTTGCAGATTAATCAGAGCAGTACCATCCCAATGCTATTATTCGCAACCCTAGGTAAGCTGAGTTCTACAGGAAAAAGAGTGATTGAAACTCTTTAAGCTCATAACCATGGAACTTAAGAGCAGGGAATGGACATCCCCACCTGCTCTATTGCCAATCCATTATACAGAAGATCAAGCCTCAGGGATAAGAAGTGAAATTCTCAGAACTCTGTGAGACTCAGTGACAGGCATTTAGCGAGAGAGGCTTTTCTTTCTCTTGCTTGAACCTCATATAAACTCCCTAGGAAAGGCCCCTCGATCTCCAAACCAAGCCAAACCTACTGCTGCCGAGTGGATTCCAAATCATAACAACCATACAAGACAGAGTTGAACTTAGAGCTTCTGATATTGTTAAGTCTTCATAGAACCAAACAGTCTCATCTTCTCCCCTAAAACGACTGTTGGATTCAAACTGGCAGTCTTTCAATGGACAGTCAGAATACTTAATCTAATGGAGCACTAGAACTCCTCGTTGGCATCCAAAACACCTGAAATCTACTCCTGGCTATGCAGAGACTCTCTGGGTGGCACTATTGAGCACTCCTCCAATAAAACCTAAATTGTAGCAGTGCGGGAACTCTGGTAGTCCTTGCTAATAATCCAGCCCCTGGCAGAATGCCTAGTATGTAATCTTTGCCAATAAACATTTGTTGAATGAACGTCTACAGGGCCAGACTCGACACCATCACAATAGATAGCCTGAAATCTAAAGAAATGAGAGGCAAAGAGTTAATCCTCAGATATGTAAAAGTCAAAACCCCATCAAGGCTGTGGAAATGCAGTTAACAAGGTAGTCAGTCACGCCTCCGACATTCAGAGGCCCCAGTCCACCATAATGTTGAAATGTGGATATTTTTCTGTGGACTCCAGGGTATAATCAGGTGCACGGTGGGAATAAGTGAGTAAGTGACAGGGAAGCAGACAGTTCAATGTAATGCAGACTTTCCTGATCTAGAGCTGCCCCGAAATGGCCTCACTGCTTGGAAGGTGATGAGTGCGGCGGGACTGCAGTGTTCAAGCTGGGCGGGCGGCCGCCCACCTGTCAGAGGCTGTGCCAGGAGTCTGCGGGAGAGAAGGCTGCCTTGGGTGAGGTCACTTCCCACCCCCAGATTCTCTGCCTCCACAAAACCCTGCAATTCTCTGACGCTGAAAACCTCCGCTTTTATTATTCTCCCACTCTCAAGGTCTCATGGTACTGACAGTCCCAAATTCGGAGCCATCAGCCTCTCTTCTCTCTGCTCAAGCTCCCGGACCCAAAAGGAAATGAGAAAATCAACAACAGTCCAAACTCCCACTGTCTCAAAAGGCTTCTCTAGAGGTAGTCCGCGCCCCCCGCCCCAAGTTGTGGGGACTATGGCGGGAGTAACTTGTTTGCAGGAGGGGAGGGAACGTTGGGGGGAGGGAGGGAAGGGTGTCCCAGAAACGGGAGTTTACAGAGCCGAGACACGTGACATGGAAAGCATCGAGTTCTGCGGAGCGCGGGACTGGTCACGTGACAAAGAGGGCACCATGGGGTGATGTGAGACGAGAGGCCTCTCGGATGACGTACAAATGACGCATGCTCACCCTTTTTGGCAGTTAGATTTCACTAGGAAGATGAGACGCTTCCGGCCAAGAGGGCGGGGTCTCGCATCCAGGCAGCTTTACTTCCGTTCGGGGCGCCACGACTTCCTGTTTCCGCCTCTCCCTCTCATGCCTTAGTACGCATGTCCGAATCTCCCTCCAGGGGGCGGGGCTGAGGCTGCGGGGAGCGGGTGGGGGGGGAGGAAGAGGGAATTCTAACCTGTGGAATCTTTGGGGGGGGGTACCCGAGGCTGCCTCCTTTCCACTGGTTGTGGACAGTGCCTGGTATAAGACCTCTGGTAGCTTGGGGAGGCGTCGGGGTCTGCAGGGTGAGGAAGGGAAATGTCAGAGTGCGAATGGTGAAAGGAATTCCAAACTTAGATCTTTAAGGCCCTAGGGTCCCGGAGCGCTGGGGAGAGGGAGTTCGGGCCACCATGCGGGACAGGACCCACGAGCTGAGGCAGGTGAGAAGTCGGGGCAAGGGCTGGGGACAGGCAGCCTGGTGGATGTGGCTAGAATGCAGGACTTTGGGTACTAGGGCACCGAAGGGTGGCTGATGGCCGGGGAAGGAAAAGACGCGGAAGCTCATAGGTTTCATGGGGCGACAGTGGCAGCAAAGAATTGATGCCAATGACTCTGGCCTGACAGGGAGATGACAGCTCGGACGATGAGGACAAGGAGCGGGTGGCACTCATGGTGCACCCGGGCACGGCACGGCTGGGAAGCCCAGACGAAGAGTTTTTCCAGAAGGTAAGGAATTGGGGTCTCAGGCAGGACTCGCAAGGGGACAGGGCTGGAGGATATGAGGAGTAGTGCTGTCTGGAGGACTCCTATGTCTCCAGCTCTCCCTATCGCCTTCCCCAGGTCAGGACAATTCGGCAATCCATTGTCAAGTTAGAGTCTAAAGTCCAGGAGTTGGAGAAGCAGCAGGTCACCATCCTAGCCACGCCCCTTCCCGAGGAAAGTGAGTGCAAACCGTGCGTAGGGCGCATGCTCAGCCGCTGGGATTGTGGGGCTTGTAGTTCCTTGCAGATGGTGCCCAGGTAAATGTTGCTATTTGGAGTCATGGTCTTCTCTTGTTCAGGTATGAAGAAGGACCTGCAGAACCTACGCGAAGAGATCAAACAACTGGGGAGGGAAATCCGCACACAGCTGAAAGGTGAGCTCCTAGGACTTACGATGGACAAGGTGGTCCTGTCAACATGCTGGTGCCATTAGGGAGTATGTAGCCCAAAGGAACGGATGATATATCCAGGTGAAACAGTAAACCAAATCTAGGACCTCGGTCTTCTGGCTTTCAATCCAGCATACTTTCCACAGCATAAACCTGACTCTTTTCCCGTACTGTTATTTACAATGAAACCATTGACTCGTACAATTCTGTAGACCAGTATTTGTTCATTGTGCAGGCAGATAAGGGTTTTGTTAGGAGACCTCTGCATACCTGTGGAACTTCACTGATAGGAAAGAAAACGCATCTCCACTTAGAGTGTCAGAATCAGTAATTTAACGTAAATGATTTTAAAAAAAGAGTCTAATGATTTCAAGAACATCCCTATTGTGTGACTGGAATATTCACCCTGCTTCTGTTTCCTAATTGTAAAACAATCTCTAGAAGCCATTAGTCAACTCTTGCCCATAATCTGGCATCTTCCCACAGCCATAGAACCCCAGAAGGAGGAAGCTGATGAAAATTATAACTCAGTCAACACGAGGATGAGAAAAACCCAGGTAGGTTTCTTGTTCTGAGAACCAGGAACCAGGGCATCTCCGCTAATGTCTCAAAGATCCTTAGATGGCGGAAGTGAAAATGAAGGGCTGTTGGAGATGGAGTCCAACTTGATAATGTTCTACATGAGGAAACAGACTCTAAGAGAGGCAGGATTCATGCGCAGTCAAGAACCCAGGTTTCTGATTCCCAATCTGCTATCACAGTTGCTGAGTCCCCAGACGTGACCTAGGCTTAGCTGTGGGAGCTTCCAGGAACCCAAGTGGGGAATTTGGGGTTGGATCAGACTTGGTGACTAATGGCTTTGCCCCGGGAAGGAGATGGAAGTCAGAAATGACTGAGGTTTCCAGGCCACATGACAAAGACAACCTCAAATTTGGGAAGTAAGGAAGAGGAACTCCTCTGGGAGAAACCTCTTCGTGAGGGGCTTCCAGGTGATCTGAGAGGGCCTTGTGAGGACTGGTTGGGATGATTGGAGGATGTTGGAGTAGGTGAGCCCAGAAGTCACCAAAGTCTTCAGATTGGAGATGAAGAGGTTTGGGTGTCTTAAAAGCAGATATGTCTCATGAATGCCAAGGAAAAAAGCACATTTAAGGCATCAGGGAAAGGCAAGGCAGGACAAAGGCACCTCATAGTGCACAGAGTATTTCAGGAGGAGCTGTGGCAGATACCATGGGGCCGAGATGGGCCTGTGGATCCGCATCAGGCTGATGGACACATGTCCTGATGCAAGGGGACTGCTGTCAGCAAACCTTCAACAGCTATTGATTAAGTGCTTCCTGACTCTTTTCTTGTTTGGAATACAGCAGTGAACCAAATAGACAAAAATCCCTATCCTTGTAGACCTTACATTATGGTGAAGGGAAATAATCACCATGTTGTTAGGTGCTGTCGAGTTGAGTAGGACTCCTAGGGACCTGCGAACCCCTGTACTGAACCGTGTCCTATCCTGTGCCATCCTCACCATGTTGTTGTTGTGTGCCATCAAGCTGGTGACCCTCCAGCAAGTTTTTAGAGACAGTAAATCTCACAGGAGGAGATTGCCATGTACTGACAGATCATGAAGTCCTTGGTGAGAGCTCAAAATTTTATGCTCAGAAAAAATGGGAAAGTTTTTGATGGCCATTACAAGGTGGCTAAGGCAACAGGCGCCTCAAGGCAGTTCATTCTGTTTGCTTTCACAAGCTCTGGTGGCCTAGTGCTAAGGAGCTGCACTGCCATCCCAGAATCATGAGGTTCGAATCCACTAATTCAGGAGAAGGATGGACAGTCTCCTCCTGTGTGATTTACTGCCTCTAAAAACCCACTGGAGGGTCAGCTATCGGTTGGTTCCAACTTGAGGACACATAAGAACAACACCCTGCACCCTTGGGATTCTGAGGCCCAGGCCAGGCAGGGTTCTTCCCCAGGGTACCCAGCTTTTGTTCTCCACCCTCAGCACGGGATTCTATCTCAGCAATTCGTGGAGCTCATCAACAAATGCAACTCAACACAGTCCGAGTACCGGGAGAAGAATGTGGAGCGGATTCGGAGGCAGCTGAAGATCAGTGGGTTGTGGGTGCCAGCCCAGTGGGTGGGCTGGGTCGGGGTCCTTTGTCGTCCGCCCCCCCCGTCCCCCCTGTCCGCCCCCCGTCCCCCCCGCTCAGCCTGGCCTCTTCTTCCGTAGCCAATGCTGGCATGGTGTCTGACGAGGAACTGGAGCAGATGCTAGACAGCGGGCAGAGCGAGGTGTTCGTGTCCAATGTGAGTGGCTGCAGCTGGCTCCCTCTGTCAGGCCTTCCCTCCTCCCTGAGCCGGGTACTTATCGACGGAGCAAGTACTGAGGCACAGAAGAGAATTCATTGGCTCGTCTGTGGAGTTACTCATCAGGGCCCTGGCTCAAGTTCTAGGTCATCAGGCTGCTCCCAGAGCCCAACAGGAGCTTATGACCTGCTGTTCTCCCTGTGACCTACTGTCCCCATTTCTGTCTACCTTCCAGATACTGAAGGATACCCAAGTGACCCGGCAGGCCTTAAATGAGATTTCTGCCCGGCACAGCGAGATCCAGCAACTAGAACGCAGCATCCGTGAGCTTCATGACATCTTCACTTTTCTGGCTACTGAGGTGGAGTCGCAGGTGGGCCCTCCTGAAAGCTGGCTGGGCTTGGCCCTGCTCCCCAGTGGGCCTCACTTCCGGCAGTGAGAGACCTCCAGGCTCTAAACAGAGCCCCCAGCCAGGACTGTCAGGGTACCGTCATCCTCAAACCCTGAGGTGTTTGGTCTCCCCCAGGATGGCGCTGTGTTAGGCGTGAGGCCGTGCCCAAAGCCCAAGACCTGTCCATCCCCAACCATGCCCTCCTGGGTGTAGATTCCTTGTGATGCTTGGCTGTGCCTGTTCAGATGATCACACCTTCATTCTTGGTGACCTGCACACAATACCCTACAGCCTGCACCTGCTCTGAGTGCCACATCAACTCTCATTCCTCTTCCCGCAGAGTTCCCTCTTACACCCTCAGGTGTCCTTGTCAAAGTTCCCTCTTGGAAGGCCTGCCGCCTAGGATTTGGGCGTGGCTGGGGCCGTGGAGTTCTTCCCCTGGCCCTGGTTATGTGGGACGAGGCAAGCTTCCGGTCCTGTCCTCAGGGAGCTGGCCCCAGTGGTGCTGCAGCCACTGCCTTTATGCAGCTGAGGGTCCTGGGGAGGCGATTTCATTCAGAAGGCATGCCGGGGACCTTGCAGGCTGGCAGTGCCAAGAGGAGGCAGGGCTGGGCATAGCTTTGTAGCAGCTGGGTGACAAGCCTGGAAGAATGAGTGGATTCAGGCAGATTTGTGAGAGGACAAAGATCCCCCCCCTCTGTAGGAAGGTTTGAAACGACCAGTGCAGATGAGGTGGGGTGGGGGACAGGAGAAGGGACGCTGCAATGGAAGGGAGTCTGGAAGTGCCCCCCTTCCCCAAGTCTGAACTTTTGCCAGGTCTGGTCTTGCCTCCATTCCTTGTTAACTGTAGGTTCTTCTGTCAAGAGTGTACTTCAGCCATTTGGGGCTAGGGAAGGCGAAAAGGGGAGCTGCTAGACCCCCAGCCCCAGCACTCCCTGCACACTCTGAGCTGCCTTCTCTTCTGAGCAGGGGGAGATGATCAATAGGATTGAGAAGAACATCCTGAGCTCGGCGGACTACGTGGAGCATGGGCAGGAGCACCTCAAGGTAGCCCTGGACAAGCAGAAGAAGGCCCGGAAGGTGAGGCGCCCTCCCACCCCACCCTGAGGCCCAGGTGTCCCTCCTGCCCCTCCTGAAAGTTTCCCTGAGCTCTTCCTTTCCTGCAGAAAAAAATCTTCATCATTATCTGCGTGTCCCTGACTGTCCTCATCCTGTCGCTCATCATTGGCCTCACCATCGCAATCGGATAGGACATCATCACACAGTCGGTGAGGAACCGTGGCCTGGCCCCTGGCCTCCCTCCCCTTCTCGCCTTCCCTCCTCCCCTCAGACCCTCTCCTTCCTTCTCTGCAGGCACTGCGAACCTACAGCTTGGCCTTGTCTCCCAGCAGCCAAGGAACAAGACAGAGTCTCCAGCTGGAACTCTTCCCTGCACTGGTCGCTGGGCAGAGGAGTCACGTGATTCTTCTGGAGTTGGCAGCTGCCCATTCATGGGGCGGCCCCCTCCTTGGACCACAAGGCCTGGGGAGGGTGTGCAGCATCCTCTTTGGTTAGGACACAGGATTTTATAAGAAATTAAAAAGAAAAATATGTGTGGAAGAGTCCCCTGTGCTTGTGTGTTCTTGCGGGAAGTTGGCCCAGGACCTCCAGGTGTCCAGCCTCCCCATCTTCCAAGCAGCCTTGGGGTCAAGCCCAGCCCAGGCAGATTCAGCCCAGAGTGCCCCTGCATGTGACCACGACAGGCCGCCCTGTTCCTCTCTCCCAGTTCAGGAATGCCTGTGGGAAAAACCCACTGTCACTCCGATCCCTGAAACAGATTGGGCCAGACCAGGCAGGACAGAGGTGACAGGAAGTGCACAAGGGAGGAGATGAAGTGGCATCAGCTGGTTACTCCTGAGGTCAAGAGGAAGAAGTGCCTTGGACGGAGAGCTGAGGTAGTTACTTTGAATCCAGCTGTCAGGGAATATCTCCCTCAGAAGAGATGACAGTTAGGTGGGATGTTAAGTGAGGTAGTGGTGGTCGTGTGCCTTTGAGTCGGAAACAAGTCCTAGCTGATCCTCCAGTGGGATTTCAGAGGCCGTAAATCACACGGGCGACGATTACTCACCTCGTCGTTTTCCTCGAGAACAGCTGGTGGGTTCGAACCACCTGCTTTGAGATGGCAGTGACGTTCCACACCTCTAAGCCAATGTGGTAAGTGAGGAGGAGCCAGTTATAAGAAGCAGAGGGGAAATTTCCAGGCCGAGGGACCAGGAGACCTGATTCTGGGATCAGACAAAAAGTATTACCTCTTACGAGTTAAGCTTAAAGAATCAATGACCTGGATCTGGATTAGAGGCCCGATTTCTTGGGTGTTACCTGATTGAAGGAGGTGGGGAAGCCGGATCTCTGGTTTGTGTGAGGCATCTAAGCTGCAGGATCCAACTCGAAGTTTCTGTGAGCATGCAGGTTCTCATTATCTAGTTTCCAGAAGCTTCTGTGCTCCTGATCTGGGACACCTATATTCTGGGATAAAGAGATTGTTGCCTCAGCTAGGTTAGAGTGGGAGAGACTCAGTTTCAATCCCACAAGGTCTTGCAGCTGCTGCTCCTGGCTGTCAGCCTGTCCTCCTGCATTGCTGCCCATCTTTGGCCATACAGGGTGCACTACATGTGGGTGCCCGAGTGACGCTCATCACAGAGAGGTCAGACCTCATGTCTCTGGTCACCAGTGTGCCTTCTGACCTCAGCTCTGGACTCTATGCAGATGTGCGGAGGGATCGGAACAGGACTGGCTCCAAGGGTGGCGTGAATTCAGGTCTGGCCTGCTCTGCCTTTGATCCACTGCTGGGCAGCAGCCTGGTGGCCTTGGCCTGATGGCCTTGGCATTGTGGTTGAATCATGCCTTGTGCCAGGTCCCAGGTCACTCATTCACGTGGTGTGAAATGCATGAGACGTGACTGAGATGTTGTTCATGTCAAAACTGGAAAATGATTGGGCAATGGCGCTGGAGATTGTACTTCAGAACCTAGAGATTGGTCTGTAGGGACCCTAGAGAATGTCCATGTGACCTTCAAGAGCAGTTGGCCTGAGAAAGCTGATGTGTAGACCATACACCAACCCCCACCCTGTAGACGGACCCAAAGTGATTGAGTAGCGGACTTAAGGGTCATGGTCAAACCTTCAAAAAAAGGGAAAAGGTGGCAGATTTTTGAGAAACAGGCCTTGGGGTTCATGAGAAGATGTGCGGGGTCCATCTCCTCAACCTCCATACTTAAACCTGTCAGAGTCCCAAGGGCCATCACTATTTTTTACCTTCCTGAGGTCACATGTCCTGTGTCAGCACAGTCTGAATGTCCATCCATGGGCACCCAGGAGCTTCGTGAGGGTCCTGCTTCTGGACCCATTTTTCCCACAGCTGGCAGACTCCTGTCTTGACTACCACTTCAGTCTGCTTCCTTACCTCTTAGTCCTCAGAGTCAAGCCAAAGGATCCTGGGCTTTCATCACTCACTGTGCACTGTCCATGCAGCCAAACGACTGGTGCAGCCCATGTCTCCTGCCTCGTGATGCTGGACAGTACTGCTGGAAGCCTGCACAGCCATCTCGCTCAGCTCTGTCCACAACCTCTTGGAAGAGGCGGTGGGATGACCAGGTGAGGCATCAGATACCAGGCTTACTAGTTGGAACTGTCCCTAAAAAGCTCTGGTGGCTTAGTGGTAAGGAGTTGCACTGCTTACTCAAGGGTAAGCAGTTTAAATCCACTTGGCAGCTCCATGAGAGAAAAATGGGAAATCTCCTCCCCTGCAGTTTACAGCCTCTGAAAACCCACTAGAGGGTCAGCTGTGAGTCAATTCCAACTCGACAGTACACAACAGTGACAGTGGGCAATGGGAATCCATGTGTCATGAGGGACTTGTATGTCCCCAAAATGCCTTGGAATCCTAGCCTCTACAGCCGTGGTGTAATCCCATTTGGGAAGAGGGCTTTCCTTGTGGTTAATGAGAACATGTCAATGTAGAGTGTGTCTTAAGGTTCTCATTTTTGAGATAAAGAGCAGGTTAGGCACAGAAGTGAGCAAGGACAGATGGAAAAGCAGGGGCCAGGGGAGATCCCCAAGGAGCACTGAAAAGAAGGCTCAAGAAGCAGAGACGAGGGTGTTCGCCCTGAGCAGGCAGAGAACTCTGAATGAGGAGTGAGGACCCTACGAGCTGGGGTCCTGTCTTATGGGGCCCTGTCTTCAGATTTCCAGCCTCATTATATTATTAACCCCAAGGCCACACGGCTGTGGAGCTCTTGGGGAGAAAGGACAGTCTCCTCCCATGTGATTATAGCCTCAGAAACCCAGTGGAGAGAGTTACTAAACTGAGAAAATAAATTCTCTTTTGGTAAATCCACCCACCTGTGGAATTTCTCTCACAGCAGCCCTAAGAAGCAAAACAGCAGGCTCTCAAATTTAGGGAACTCTGGTGGCTTCGTGGTAAGGTTGGTACTACCAACCTAAAGGCATGTGGTTTGAATCCACCAAAAAGATGGGCAGTCACCTCCCACGTGATTTCCTGCTTCTGAAGTCTTGTTGGGGGGTTGTCATCTATGAATTGGCTCTCACTTGAAAGTACACAACAACAACAGCAACAGCAAGGACCTACAACACTGTGGAAGACTTTGGCACAGCTAAGTAGCCAGTTTGGAGCAGGCTTGGTGCAGACAAGTGGACTGACGCACTGGAGATTTCCCCTGTGCATCTGCTTTTCCAAATCTCGCTTTCATCTGCAGTTCTCTCCATGTGTTGCCTCACTCAGTATTTCATCATTCAAATTCTCAAGAAAATGAATCTTCCAGTCAGCTCTCCAAATCAGGTTGAATTGACCTGCCTATGAACCATGTGCCCTTGAGTCAAGGTTTGTGTAGGTCTTTGTGGGGTGTTATGTGCAGTGGAGTGTGTGAAAGGAGTGGACAAATGGAGCGATTGCAGTCTCTGGTACAGCCCTGTTTAGATTTTATTGTTGTTCCAAATACTAACTGCCTCTTCTTTACTTGTCCTCTCAATAGAAACAATAGCTTATGGATGCATTTCCCAATGATGGCAGGTTTAGCTATATGACTTTGTTTTTTAAGCCAATGAAATGGGAATAAAAATGTGAGTTCTTTGTCCAAATAGAAGCTCTAAGTGCCTCGAAGCTCTAAGTATCTTCTAGCTTCTGTTCTCTTTTAACTCTGCCCTCAGCTTGGAAGTTTCCAGATCAAGGCTTTTTCTTTAGCCTGGAACCCAGAGTGAAGATGAGGGGAATCTTAGCTGTAGCTCATCTGCAAATTTTTATACACGCATAGCTGGTAAGAGAAACAGTGAACCACTGATGTCTGAGAGAATTGTCACTATGTCATTGTCCACATTCTTATTCATTGACAAGGAAGACCAAAGAATTGAGGTCCTTGTTTTGGGGAGTGGGTGAAGCAAGTTGAATTTGAATATATTGTGGACTGCCAGAAGAACAAATAAATTTGGCTTAGAAGTGTAGCCAGAATGGTCCTTAGAAGTGAATGAGGATGATGATAAGCCTGTATCTCACGTTTTCAGAAGCCAGTCTTTGGGAAAGGGCATGTTTGGTAAAGTAGAGAGTATGAGGCCAAGAGGAGGCCTGTGCACAAGATGGACTGACAAAGTGACTGATGTGATAGGTGACATTGTATTGTACGTAGGTGCCAGCCTGACAACACTTACAGCAACAGCTCCACATCATAACTTAGTCTAAAATAACTTTCAAAATCGGTACCGTGAAATGAGGTGTTGCTACAATATAAAATAAGCCTGGATTACGTGGCTGGGCAGTGGTTGATGAAGAAATTATCGTATGAAGTTGGCATGATGAGAGGTAACCCGTGGAATGCAGAGGTGAACCATCTGTCTAAACTGTAACTTTGGAATAGCTAAGAAGATAAAAACACCAAGAGTGGTGCACCGACAGAGAACTGCCAGAAATAACAAGCTGAGTTTAGAAGAGGCTATGGCACTAGGGACATCATTGCTGAGGTCAGACGGATCATAGCTGAGAGGAGGACAAGATCAGAACGATGCCTGCTTGTGTTTTATCAGCAACACAAAGGCATTTGACTGTGTGCAAGAAAATCCTTTCTTCATACCTTTTCAATCTACCTGCAGAACAGACCATTCAGGAGGCTAGATTTTATGAAGAAGAATATGGCATCAGGTTTGGAAGAAGACTCATTAACAACTTGGCTTATGCAGATGATGCAACCTTGTTCATGAAAACT